CGAGAGAGAGAGAGAGAGAGAGGGGGGGGGAGAGACTTAGAATTACAGAAAATTCTGTAACAGAATATTCTGGCGCTGGGAATGAAATGAATGGATGGACTGGTCTTTTACACATTGAAAGGCAATGCAGTCGTCGTCTCTACTTATAAAGGAAATGGCAATAAATAATTAGAGACCATAAGTCACATACAGTGTGTGGTGTTTAGACGACACATACACAGCACAGCCAAATAATGCACTGGTAGGTGAAATAGGCATGTGTGGCAATATATCAAGTGTATAAACCAGAATTACATACATCGATCTCTCATCCAGAATCGGCAACTGATTAATTAAGGCAAACGACGCCGACTTCTGCCTCCCGGAGCCGCCGCCGCCGTCGCGACTGTGCACTGAACTGATGGTACTATTAGTAGTGCCGGAAAAGCGTTGGAAAGCCTGCGTGGAGACCATTGGGCCGTTAAAACCGGCGGCGAGACCGCCGTTGAGGCCACCGTTGGAGCCGTCCAGCGGTCGGTGACCACCGTTCAGACCGTTGAGCCCGTGTGGGTTGAGGTGACCTTTCAGGCGGCGCCGGCGGGCGGCGCACACGACGATCACCACAACGCTGGACGCCAGTAGGAAGACAACGGCGCCGGCACTCGCGGCCACTATCAGTAGATTCTCGTCGGCCAACAGTGTCTGTACCCATCCGGACGGTGCTATACATACATAGAGTAGTAATTATACATAATTTATATTAAAAACAATTATATATATGAAGTAAGTGTTGTGTTCATGTAGGTAAAGGGGGCGCTGAGGGGTATATACAATACTGCTCATAACAACATAGTTAAAAATTTTAATTATACTAATATTATTGGGTAGAGATTCTTTGCAGTTAGTGTTATTCAAAGGACCAGGATATTAAGTGGGATGTGGGATGTATTACAATTTGTAAGTTACAAACCACTGGCAATCTGTTGGACGTGTAGTTTGCAGGGGTGGGATGAGCCGATATCGTTTGTGGCCACACAATAGTAGGCCTCGACGTCGTTGTCGGCCAACACCAATACCGTTGACTGTTTGCTGCCCAACAGTGAGGCGGATGGTGTGGTCGGGTCGACAATCTCGTGGCCGTCGGGCCCGGTCATGGACGAGGCAACTTCGGACACGGTGCGATTGCCTTTGTACCAGGTGAAATTGATCACAGACGGATTGGACTGGGCCTCGCACGATAGTACCGAGCGCCCTTCAAATGAATACTCCCGGCGCATTTGACATTCGGGCCGATCTAGGTGATTAACACATAAAACATTAATTAATTATAATAGTTTATTCTTATATAGTTAATTTATATAGTTTTATAAATAATATAACTTTATATAGTTAATTCTGATTTTATTTTGTTTAACTAGATTGTTTTTATTTTATTATCATGTTCTAATTTGGTGTTTGTGCGTTAATTGTAGCTGAGTACTTTAGTAGTAGAATTTAATGTAGAATATTCTGTGTGTAACTGTATTTTTATATGCAATTGTATTGATAGTGATAATGGTTTATCTGGGTCTATTAGCATCTGGGATTGATAATAGTTCAATTAGTTTATAACAATACTATCAAAGCTCTCTCTCTCTCTCTCTCTCTCTCTCCTATTGAAACAGCCATTAGCTGTGAAACACTCGCAGAGAGATCTCATCATAATTTGTGTGTCCACTAACTCTAAAGACATTATCATTTCATTGCATTTAATTTAATCAATAGATATATGAGATGTGATATATCATTGTGTATAATGTGTGTACTATACTATACAAGTGTACCCTCTCTGTACAAATCATAAATAAAATTTTCAAAGTAAATCTAACATGGTTATCTTAGAAAAGTAGTATTTTTTAATGAAAATAATCTTTTTGTTTACTCTTTTTGACAATTGTTTTCTATTTGAGAAATTGTTTGGAAATAAAAAAGAACTTTTTTGTGTTGTTTTATTTTCCCTCGTTTTCAGTCAAGTATTAAAAACAATAAAACAAATTAATTGATCCGCAAATGTATGGCTCACTCTCTCGTGAGAGTGAATGAGTGAGCGATCGCTAGAGAGAGAGAGAGAGAGAGAGAGAGAGCTTTGATAGTATTGTTATAAACTAATTGAACTATTATCAATCC